TCTAAGTTATTTTTTAACTCCATAGGTCCCCAAAAGGCCATCCCATGTTAGGGATCCATGAAACCTTCCTTCTCTCCTATCCTACCAATTTTCAAATACAGTCTGTAGTTGCCTTTTAATGCTCTCTTGTTGATCTTTTATCAAAAGGCACCAAGGTGGTCTTGATCTTGCCAATTTATCCATGAATTGTAATGAATACCAAGAAACCCTTCTTCTATCTATACTTACTCATCTATGTCTCTCTTCTAGAAATCCGTTATTCCCTGGACTTTCCAGCATTAATTCTGCTTAAAATATGTTTCATTAATAGTGGTGCATCTGAATTAGGATGATTAAAGGATTTCAATAAAGGCAGTGATAGCAGTCCCAAAGACACCAGGTACTTTCCGGACCCCCAGAAAGCCCAAGATACAGTGACAGTTAGAAAAATAATAGCAAGTAAAAGCATGCCAAGTACACTGATGTTTCTCAGCACAACCAATTCCAAGAGGCAACCTTCCTTGAAGTTCTAGCCTCAACCCACGGAGGATCTCACGCAGGCTTCATTGGAGATGGAGTGACAGCCCCCCTTTTCTTCCTTTTTTAATTTTTAAATTTATTTTATTCTATTTTTTGTCTTTTTGAGACAGGATCTCCCTGTAGTCTCAGCTGACCTGGAACTCACCATGTAAACCAGGCTGGCCTTGAACTCACAGAGATCCGCCTGCCTCTGCCTCCCAAGTGCTGGGACTAAAGGTGTGCGCCACCACGCCTGGCCAGCCACCCTTTTCTAACAGACTTAACATGCCTTCCAAAAGAGTAGGTTTACTCTGTGCCTCCCATGTCCCACCCCATGCTAGTGCGGCAGAGTCAGAATGAGGCTCACTTTATTCAACACCAGCTGTTCTCACAGGGATGTTTACAGCGCTCTTAGCTCAGATGGGATCATACAAACCCTGATCAGGATCCTCATCAGGAGTCATCATCAGCCACATATCACCACAGAAACACAGTTTGGGACACACCTCAGTTCACTGCTTTGCAGTGTCTGTGTCTAGCCGCACAGCAGTGCAGCGTCTCAGTCACGCACTTTCACACACTTTTGAAAAGGTCAGACAAAATTTCTATACTACCCTCAACCCAGAATTCCAAAATCAAAAAATCCCAGATTGCTGACCAAAAAAGGGGGTTCCCCCCGGGGGGAATGTCTAGTCAGTGGGCACTCTGGGACCCTTATAGGTAGTGATTGATCTTCTCTTCTACCAGTTTCGGTTCATGTCCTAGTGGACCCCGGTCCCACCTGTCCAGCTGGGCAGTGCTCCAAAATCCCTACACCGGGTTCCTGTCTCTCTAGGGTTCTGTTGTGCTGCGGCAGTGACTCCGAGACACCCAAGTGAGGTGTTCCCCTTACAGGCTCAAACAGCTCATGGTGCTGTCAAGGGGAAGGCTATCCTCCACCATCCCAGGGAGGCTAAGCCCTGGAGACAAGGGAGGCAAAAAGCCTCCACTTTCCCAGCCAATGCACCCGACCTGTTATGGGAAAGATCAGGCAGGGCACCAGAGTGTACAGGAAGCAGGTCTGTTTATTTAGGCTGCAGCCTGGTCCAGTGGGCTCAAGCCTCAAAATCAGGACCCCAAGCTGGGCGTAGTGGTGCACGCCTTTGATCCCAGCACTTGGGAGGAGGGGGCAGGTGGATCTCTGGGAGTTCAAGGCCAGCCTGGTCTACATAGTGAGTTCCAGGACAGCTGGGGCTACAGGGAGACCCTGTCTCAAAAAGACCAAAAAAAAAAAAAAAAAAAAAAAAAATTCCTCTAATTGAAAATCATTGTAGGAGTCTCCATCTGAGATAAAAAGAATTGAGGAAGTGTCATCAGGACACAAGGCCAGTGGCTCCAGCTGTGTCAGAATTCTAACCACAGACTTGTCAGCTGAAATGTGCTGACAGAGACAGAGGGAGAAAATAAGGATTAAAATCCATATTTCATGGGGCTGGAGAGATGGCTCAGCGGTTAAGAGCACTGGCTGCTCTTGCAGAGGACCCGGGTTCGATTCCCAGCACCCACATGGCGCCTACAAACCGTCCTTAACACCAGTTCCAGGGGATCTGATGTCCTCTTCTGGCCTCTGTGGGCATTGCACCACCACACCAGTGCACTTACATACATGCAGGCATAACACTCATATCCATAAAATAAAAATAATAAAGTATTTTTAAAAACTTTTTAAAAATCCATATTTTCTGTCATATTTCATTAAGCACTGACTACATCATCCCCACCCCCCTTTTCCTCCTCCTCTCTTGCCCCATCCCGTTTTCCCTCCTCCCCCCCTTTCCCCTCCTCTCCCTCCTCCCCTCCTCTTCCTTCTCTGGAAATGTGCCTGACAAGTGGAAGACCCACCCCCTGCACATTCTGTTTTGCTCATGGTAGGCCATTCACCAAACAAATGAAGGTGCAGACCATCTATCTCTGGCATTCCTCTGAACTGAACTTAAAGGAGCTGGTGCACTCCCCAGGTTGCCACAGCCTCATCTCTGGGATGGGTATCAGTCACAGCTGCTTGGAATATCAAGTGACCCTACCATAATTTCTACCAGAAGCCTTAGAAAGGCCTCCATTATCACTTGAGCCCTCCAAAGTCTGGCAGGTATCCATTCCCAGATGCTCCTGACAGCCGTTCCTGTCAGTGGCTCTTCCTGACCCTACCAGAATTTGTTGATGGCCCCAACGTTGTTTAGTCAGGGACATGTAAAGTCGTACAGCCTCTCATTGATAAAATTCCTGGCTGCACACTATGAGGCCTATACTAATTTGGTCAGAGGGACATAAAGGACACGTTTTGCTCTTTTCCCTCCTAGGTCTACTGAGCTCCAGGGGACTATGAGCATCTCTCAAAATGTCCTGTAACTGTAGTAAGTCACCTGTCCTCTTGATCAAGAAGGCCATGGAGACCTCACCAGATGGACTTGAACCAGTGTCCAGTCTACAAAGAGGAGGGTCAAGACAGAGGAAACATTTCCTCCATGCTTCCAAGCGAAGCCAGCCATGATCGAGCAGGACCTTTGACTTATCTTCACATAGACAGAACTGGTAAAAGAAAGGAGCCAGGGGCTCCTCCCAAGCCCATGTGACCCCTGAGGAACAGATCCTCAATATGTATAGCTCAAGGGTATATAACAAAAAACAATGTCAGACAGGAGATACCTTCCTTTGAGTTATTGGCCAGGGTGGCCCAAAATACTCCCAGACAGTAACCCAGCATAGAACAGGGAAAATGAACAGCAGACCCCAATGTTATGTAAAGGAATATTGACAACCTATTGCTGCCAGATGAGGAAGAGCTGATCTTCCTAAAACAAGGCTCTCTAGATGGGCTGACTAGATTCAGTGGATAGACAAGCACTGGAGAACAGCTGGGGGTGTCAAAAACACAGAGGACAGTAACAGGGATGACAGAGTATATTGGGGTCCAGTGGGGTGTGGAGACTGTGGGAGGGTGCCATTTGGGAAGTGGGTATATAGATGAGTAAGATTGTTTGGGATGTTCTGTATGAAATACGCACACACAAAAGTCAACAAATTTTTAAAAAAAGACCTATTTGAGGAGGAAGCATAAAAATTTACTTCATGTTAATTAGTAGAGGTGATAAACATTACCATTGAAATCTACCCGATGACTTTATATCTATACTCAGGTGCCAAGGATCCAAGTGTAACCGTGACTAGTAATAATCAGACGCATAGAGATTAGAGACACATGTGCAAACATCTAAGCATTAGTAGCATTAAAAATGTAGGAAACAGCATATTTTAAAATAAAATGGAGCTCTTTAAAGGTTAAAAACTCATTCAATTTTATGTCTTACAGGGTTTATACTGAGTTCAATATTGTATAACCGTATTAATTCAACTGTGAACCTAAAAATTTACAGCCAATTTTGAAAGAGATGTATCCTTGCTCTAGAAATTGTTACTAAATATGTTAAAGCTGTAATGAAACACTTCTTCTAACCATGTGGTTATTAAAAAAAAAAAAATTCCTGGCTGCCAGGCTACTGAACCCCACCTTGTCAGTAGTCAAATGGGTCCCACTGAATGGCACTGATTTCTGCATTTTCATGGCAGAAATGGGTTATAGTTATTCCTGTTTCAGTCCATCTTCTGAATATTTTTAGGGTCCTCAGTCTCAAAGGGGGATCAGTATAGGAGCCTAAGAGGCCTTTGGGGATGGACCCCTGATGGAATCTCCTTCTAGCCCTGGGTGGGGAGACATGGCATTCTGATCTGCTCTGAACACTACAGGGCCAGAGCAATGGCTCCATGCTGAGAGTGCTCGCAGCTCTTCTAGAGTTCCAGAGTTTGCTTTGTGCCTCACAACCTCCTATGACTCCAGCCCTCTGGCCTCCTTGGACACCTGCACAAACCCCAGTGTAGAGGGCAACTCTCTACCCTCTGCTCTGTTCTCATGAATGAAGTAAAGGTCTCCACAGTTGCTTCACGTGGAAGGCTCTAGAAGGTTCTTTGGGGATGGTCCTCCTCCCAGTGGCCAAAGTCCTGGCCTGGGCAATAAGGGTCCCAGAATCCTGGGCCAGGGCAGATGAGGGAGGGGCCGCATGACCCAGGCAGGTCCACCAGGTCTAGCCACTGAAAGCCTGCGCTGCAGCTCTGAGGGATATGGAGGTGGGTGGGAGCTGGTACTGTTGGGTGTTTAGGCTACCCCTAAATGTAAACAGGTCCTGTGGGGACCAGGTCTCAGCCCCCAAAGGACTGGCCTGTCGCATAGGACATTGGGTGAGCTCCTCCAGGTTCTGCAGGGTGAGTTTGAGTGCAGAGAATACCCACCCCGCTGGGCAGCACAGTCCCCTCCACATCACACCAGGTATGGTGTCAGGGAACCCAGATACAGCCTGTGACCTTCTCAGTCAATGGAGGTGCAGCTCACCCTCTGCTTTGCTGTGGCCAGGATTTTCTATCACTTGTCAACAGCAGGATCTGTGAACCCCAAATGACTGAGGAGCAGCTTAGATAGTCCCAGACTTTTTATTCTTATGACATTTTACCCCAGGCAAGAAGAGGGAATGGACAGCCTGGAGTGGGTGGGGACCAGGAAACATGGACTGGGGTGCCCAGAGCTCCTGGGAGACCTCCTGGGACCCCTGGCTCTCTTCCAGGGTTCCCTAAGTGCCCTCATTGCCCCTTCTGGAACCCTTAGGGATGCCAGGAAACTCAATTTGAAAACCAGCACTCTAGCCCCAGGGTCTCCTAAGGGGTGGTAACAGGTCACACGGTGGCCTCACCCTCGGCGTCCTCATCATCGCCCAGCAGGCTGTAGGACGCGTGGCTCTGGCAGGGCCGCTGCAGCGGGTGGGCCAGCAGCTTGGCCATGCAGTTGTGCAGCTCGAGTGCCGGGCCGGCCAGTGTCACTTCATACCTGTAGCTGCTGCCCTTGGCATCCAGGCTGCCCATGAAGGCGAACATGTCCTGTGGGCCAGTGAGGGGCTGCTCAGGGTGGGGTGAACCATGACAGGCTGGCCCCGACTCCCAAGGGCTCCCAGAGGACAGGTCATCTGGGGTGGGCTCTGAGGCCACGAGAGGAGCATGGCAAGCAGAAACAGTCACGGAGTCAGCGGACAACCCAACTCCTACCCAATGTCAGAGACCCAGTGTGGGGCTGGAGAGACGGCTCTGAGGGCAAGAGCCTTCTGTGCAAGCCTGAAGACCTGAGTTCGAATCCTAGAACCCATGTTATTCTAAGTGTGGCAGGAAGACCTGAGTTCGAATCCTAGAGCCCATGTTATTCTAAGTGTGGCAGGAAGACCTGAGTTCGAATCCTAGAGCCCATGTTATTCTAAGTGTGGCAGGAAGACCTGAGTTCGAATCCTAGAGCCCATGTTATTCTAAGTGTGGCAGGAAGACCTGAGTTTGAATCCTAGAGCCTATGTCATTCTAAGTGTGGCAGCTCACACCTGATCTCACTACTTGGACCGCAGGGTAGGAAGTGGAGAACCCCTGAAGCGCAAAGTCAGCAAATAAGACCAGTTCAAACAAAGTGGGTGGGGGTAAGGCTGTCCTCGAACCTGGGGAGTGAACTCAAGTCGTCGGACTTGGTGGTGAGAACCTTTTCTCCATTGAACCCTCTTGCTAGCCCATGAAGTGGCCTTCACAGTCAGATAAACTGAAGTTCAGAGATGTTAGAGACACTCTGAGGGTCATACGGCAAGTTCAGAGATGAAAGCAGCCAGGCCTGGGGAGGTGGGGAGGGGAGGGTACCATCCAAGAGGATGACATAGCAAGGGTGAAGTCAGGGGACAAGAAGTGGGGTACTGTGAAAGGTGTGACTGGACGGCCCTGCTCCCCGGCTGCTGACTCAATGCTTCCAGCTCAGAGAAGAAATGGGAGAGCCAGGCCAGGGCAGGCAGCCCGCAGCGTCCCCTACACCCCTAACAGCTGCCCTCCCTCCCAGATGGGCCATTCACCTTCCAGCTCATCTCGTCCTCCTTCTCCTCAGAGCCATTGTGGATGTACACGATGTCGAAGAAGAAGTAGGGACACTGGAACATTTTCTTCATGGACTCAGTCAGGGAGAACTGGGGCTGGCAGGGCGGGCGGCTGTAGACAAGGATGGTGCGTACCACATACGGGGGTGGGATGGTCTGCACATTCTCTGTGACTGGCAGCTCCGTCTTCTGCTGGCTACACAGGAGTGGGCAGGGTAGGTCATGCCCAGCACTGGCCTGAGTCTACCACCCACAGACCTTTCTCTGCTATGCCAGTGCCCACTACTCCTTCCACCACAGCTGTATCCCACAAGCCAAGGATCCTAGGTAGAGAGACGGCTAGGGGCCTTCACATGTAAAAAGCAAAGCCAGGGCTGGAGACAGCATAGAAGGTAAGAGTATGCTTTGCAAGCATGAGGATGAGTTCAAATCCTAAGCATCTGTGGAAAATACTGGGCCTAGCCCAGTGCATGGAACTGTGATGACCAAGGCAAGAGGGTCTCTGGGGCTCTCTGGCCATCTAGCTCCAGCATCAGTGAGATCCAGGGTCAGTGAGACCTGTCTCAAGGGGAAAGACAGAGAGGGATAGAGCAAGACATCCATGTCCTCCTCTGCACCCACGCACATGCAAATCCCACACAAAATAAAAATAAATGAATAAGGGGCTAGACAGATGGCTCATGGTGAAGAGCACTGGCTGCTCTTGCAGACCTGGGTTTGGGTCTCAGCACCCACATGACAATTAACAACTGTCTAACTCCAGTTCCAGGGGCTACAATGCCCTCTTCTGGCCCCCTTAGGCACTGCATGCACGGGTGCCCTTCCATGTAAGCAAAATACTCAGACACATAAAATCATTAAAAAAAAAAGATTTTGTGGCTAGAGAGATGGCACAGCGGTTAAGAACACTGGTTGTTCTTGCAGAAGACAACTGTCCCTAACTCCAGTTCTAGGGGATCTGACAGCCTCTACTGTCCTCCGCAGGCATTGCACGATACGGGTGCACTTACCTACATGCAGGCAATACATGCGTACACATAAAATAAAAATAATAAATATTTTTTAAAAGATTTAAAAAAAATATGCCAGGCGTGGTGGCGCAGCACTCGGGAGGCAGAGGCAGGCGGATCTCTGTGAGTTCTAGGCAGCTGGGGCTACAGGGAGACCCTGCCGCAAAAAGAGCAAAAAAAAAAAATCTTTTTTTCAAAAGAAATTCAAAGGATACTGGCTCTGACCAGGTCTGTGGTACCCATTCACTAGCAGCAATGCATCCTCTCTGGCCGAATCTTCCTGCAGCACTGAGGTGAACCCAGGGCCTCTGGCACCCACTGCCCACCCGCCATCCTCTCCCAGTGCAGAGTGGCTACTCACATGAGACTAAACAGGCCCTCCAGATCTGACAAGAGCTAAGGAGAAGACCAAGACATCAAGGATGCTTCCACGATCTGGGCCCAGGAGACACTGCAGGTGTGGGCTGTGTGACCCCAGCCAACACCATGACCTCTCTGAGCAGCTTCCTTTTGCACACTCAAAGCAGATGCAGCATCCGGAGACCCTCCAAAGTTCAAAGTCTCCCACAAACTGGGGACTCTGTTCCCACTCATCTCTCTGTTGTTTCCTTTTTTGATTGTTTTGGTTTGTTGAGACAGGGTCTCCCAGTAGCCCCAGCTGGCCTGGAACTCCCTACGTAGACCAGGTTGGCCTTGATCTCATAAAGATCTGCCTGCCTCTGCCTCCGAGTGCTGGGACTAAAGGTGTGTATCACCAAGCCTGGCATGATTCATTGTCTTTGACACCTATTACCACAGCATGGGCACCTCACTTGGGATGCCAGGGCCCAGGTCCTGCACATTCAGAATGAGTTTGCTAGCCTGCTGTTGTAGGCTTTTGTTTTCTTGAAACAGAATCTAGATCTGTAACCCAGGCTGGCCTGGAACCTGTAATCCTCCTGCCTCCTGTAGCTTCCTGAGTGCTAGGATGTCAAGCATACACCACCACACATGGGCTTGTGCCTAGGTTTTCACCGAAACTCATCTCTGAATGTCAGATACGGGATATTCCACCTGTGATGAAAGAGCACAAACACCGTGAACTCTGCTGAGACCTGGACTCAGTTGGCAGAGTTTTTGCCTAAGAAACATGAGGCCCTGGGTTCCATCCTGCACATCACATAAACCAGGCAAAGCAGTGCACTCCTGTCATCCGAGCATTTGGGAGGATCAGGAGTTCAAGGTTATCCTCGGCTACATAGTGAAGTCAAAGCCACCTGTCTCAAATGAGACTGTCTCAAATTTTTATTTATTTATTTATTTATTTTTTATTAATTTACTGTTTAGTGGTGTATACCTTTAATCCCAGCACTCAGGAGGCAGAGGCTAATCTCTGAGATCAATTTCAGCCTGGGCTACAAAGCAAGTTCTGGGCCAGCTAGGGCTACAGCCCGGTCTCAAGAAAACCAAACAAAATAAAATTATACTCTTGCCCTGCACCCGGGAAGCTGAAGCAGGAGGGTTACTACACATTTGGAGACAGCCTGGGTTGCACAGAAAGTTCCAGGTGAACCAAGACAATAAATCAAGACTAGCCCAAATAAACAAATCTAAGGGCAGCGAAAAGGGTTAGCGGGCAAAGGCACTTGCTATACAAGCCTAGTGACCTAAGTCTGATCCCCAGAACCCATGTAAGGGTGAAAGGAGGGAACCAACTCGACAGACTTGTCCTCCAACCACCCTGTACAATAATAGGTGAACAAATGATTAAGTAAATAAATAAACAAGGGGACCTGGCTGTGAACAACTGTGATCACAGCAGTAAAGGAGGCTGAGGCAGGAGGATCACGAATTTGAGGCCAGTCTTGGCTACAATGGAGACCATGATGATTCTGGGGTGCTTTGGATTCTGGATGTTTAACTTGCACTTTATGGCAAGGGCCGTCCAGGGTTGGCATCTTCTAGGACACAGCTGGGAACATGAGGCTGAGGGTCACCCTGATAGGGGCCGCAGGACGATGGTGACAAGGATACTGAAGGTGGAGCAGGACGCCGTTTCCAGGTCATACAGGCAGCTGCACAGCTCCCGGGGGTCAGAGGTCAGGCCAGAGAGCTGCAGGGAAACTCGGGCTTTAGTGCAAGGACTCCCAGGCCCCGGGGCTCCCCTGGGGTCCCTGTCACTGCCAGTCTCACCCAGGCAGAGTCGTCATTCACCACGACCAGTGCAAACTCGTGGCCCTTGTTGACCTTATGCTTGGTGCGTACAAACATCTCAATCATCTTCTGAGATACGTTCAGGGCATTCGTCTTGGATCTGGGGACAGGGATCTCGGTAAGAGATCTCACATAGCTCAGGCTAGCTTCAGTCTCACTATGTAGCCCACCCTGGTCATGAATTCATTATGTAGTCCAGGCTGGCCACAAACTCACTATATAGCCTAGGCTGGCTATTCACTAATGTAGCCCCAGCAGGCCTCAACTTCACTGCATAGCCCAGTGTGACCTTGAACTCCTGATCCTTCTGTCACCACCTCCCAGATGCTGAGATGACAGGTATGTGCCACCAGCCCACAGGCATCTTGCCCTCATCCCCTGCAGTCCCCTAGGACCCTTCCACATGTGCCACCTCACACCACACTCGTGCCAGAGGCAAACGGCTCTGAAGGCTGAATTTTGACGCTTGTCTGCTCATAATCTGAGGCTCTGGGGTCACCTGGCTCCTGAAGTGTCACTGTCACAGTAACTGTTGTGACAGACCAGGGAGACACCTCACAACCACATGGCTAGGCGCCTTGGGGTCACAGCCGTGTAATTATCAGGTGTCACCACCATGCAGATCCTGCCAGGTGCAAGGGTCCACATACCATGAGCAGATCTCACCCAGAACCCTGGACACTATAAGCTGCCCATGTCCAATGCCCAAGAGCACCTCACCCATTAAACGACTCAAGCTTCGGCACAGACATTTCCTCTGAAAGATCCAGACAGATGATCTGAAACAGAGAATAGGAGGGAGGGGAGCTAGCACACAGTCAACCCAACCCAGAGGCCTATGGGAAGAGCAAGGCAAAGCCTCCCCAGTGAGGGGCCAGGGCAGGGCTTAGAGGTAGAGTGCCTGCCTAGAATCCCCTGGTAACAGAGGGACTTGGGGCATGGCTGAGGTAGAACCTCCAGTGAGGGGCTGGGGGTGTGGCTCAGGGGTAGAACGACCACCTACAATCCCCCAAGGAATGGCTGGAGGCACATGTAGTCTCAAGTTCTGTACCCAGTGTCACCAAAAAGTTATAAACACCCAAATCTAAATTTGTACTGTTTAAGGTATCAAGCCTGCCAGTTCCTATGGAGTCTGTAGGAAAAGCCCACAGGCAGGAGTGACCCACCTACCACCCCCCCATTCCTTCCACCCCACACTGACACCCCCACCTACCACCTTCTCTGGACAGTTGACCCTGGGGGTGCGAATCTGGATCTCCGGAGCTGGGGTTGGCACCTGCCAGGTCTTGGGCCCAGTTCCTGGGGCACTGGGGGACTGGTCGTCCACACTGGCCGCCTCACCCTCTCCCTCACTGCGGCTGCCCACAGTGGTCTGTGCACCCAGGGTCCGGTCCTCGGCGCCCTCAGGGTTGGAGCGAGTGCGAGGCCTTGGCTCGGATGCAGTCTCTTCCCCCTCCTCCTCCTCCTCCTCCTCTTCCTCCTCCTCAGTGGGGCTGTTGACCTCTGCCACCTCCATGGCTCCTGGGTGGCTGGATGGACAGGGGGTGGCAGATGCCAGGGTACTGCCTTAGAGCTTAAAAAAAACCTGGTTACTAAGAACCAATCTTGAGCCAGGTACTGAGCTCAGGAGTCTGCTGCCTGATCTGAGCCCAGGACTTTTTTGTTTGTTTGTTTTTTCCTTTTTTATTTTTTGTGACAGGCTTCTTGTAGCCCAGGCTGGACTCAACCTTGCTATGCAGCTGAGGATGACCTTGAAATCCTGATCCTCCTGCTTCCACCTGGGGACGGAGCCTAGAGCCTCGTGCATGCTAGGGTCGGCGCTCTATCCACTGAGCTGTCTCTATCCCAGCCCTGGCTTCCCACTTTTTCCAGCAAGGCAGAGGCTGATTCCTTCCCCTGGCCAATGAACATTCTCCAATTGCCTGATCATGGGGAGTGACTCAGAAATGGGTACCTGACACAATACCGGCGTCAGTGGTTCCCACACCTGGAAAAAGAGACTCAACTGGCTTGCAGAGCAGGGAAGACACACTTCGATCTCCCCAAAGCTCCTTCGGCCTGAGAGGAAGCGACTGCCTGAAGAAAGCGACTGCCCACTGACAAAACGGAAGTGACTTGAGCGCCTGGATCCAGCTATGCCTGAATGCAACATAAAAGCGCGGAGCTTCCCTCGGTGGCTTCAGATTACAGTGGGGTTTCCGTTACCAGGGGCTGGAAGTGTGTTGGAGACTGGAGCTCTGCGCTCCTCGGGCCCGGGCCGCCTGCAGGTCCCTTGGAGACCCAGGAAGCCAATGAACAGTCAGTCGCCCCGTGCAAAGGGTGCACTTTTCCCAGGACGGCGTGTGAAGACCCTGCAGCCCCCAATGCCTCAGGAAAACAAACCTTGAGCTGCAGCAAGAAGACTGGAACTCGGACAACAGAGACCTGGGGCGCCAGGCGGGGACGGGGGTACCAGGTTCACCGCAGCCCCTCACCACACCGCGGCCACTCAATCGCTCCGGCTTCCGGAAGCCGCCATTTTCCAGAACAGAAGTTGTGCCGCGCTGCCGCGACGCCTTCTGGAAAATGTAGTTCAGTGGCCCTCAGGCCGGGGGAAGCTCTGAATCGGAGCAGGCTGGTGAGGACGTGGAAGCCGATAGGCTGACACGGTCCTGAGTGGGGCTTATAGTGTGACAGACTGGAGTGGAGCTGAAGTGGCCGAGATTTAGCACCGGGAATGGGTGTGAGAGATGACTGGCTGACGCTAGAGTAGGCGGAACGTTTGTTTTTAATCAGACTACAGTGGTCGGGACTTCCCCGGAAGAAAAGCAAGAGGCCTGGTCTGGGCGGGGCTTAGGGGAAGGGGCGAGGCCTGTCGGCTATTGACAGGTTTGGACATGGCTGGGGTCAAGGCCCCGCCCTCCTTTTTTACATGTATTTGCATAGGTTGCAGAGGCCGGTTGGTGGTACACACCTGTCATCCCAGCACTCTGGAGGCAGAGGCAGGAGGATCAGAGGTTCAAGGCTAGTCCAGGCTACATAGAGAGTTTAAGGCCAGCCTGGGCTACATGAGACCCTGCCTCAAAAAAACCAAAAGGATTCATTTAAAGAAAAAAAGAACCAAAAACCAAAACAGCGTTGACCAATTAGAACCTTCTGACAAGAACTGGCTGGAGGGGCTGGCTCAGCGGTTAAGAGTACTGGCTGTTCTTGCAGAGGACCTGCCTTCGATTCCCATACCTACATGGTTGCTAACAACTGTGTGTAACTCCAGTTCCAGGGGATCCAATGCCCTCTTCTGACCTCCTTGGGCACTGCATGACATGGGTGCACTTACATAGTCAGGCATTACACTCATACACATAAAATTTAAATAAAAAACCTGGCTGAAATAACTGTACCAGCAGCTTTGGCTCACCTGAAAATATATATGGACCAGCCGGGCATGGTGGCGCACGCCTTTGATCCCAACGCTTGGGAGGCAGAGGTAGGTGAATCTCTGTGAGTTCGAGGTCAGCTTGGTCTCCAGGCCAGCTGCGGCTACAGGGAGATCTTGTTTCAAAAAGACCCCCCCAGAAAAAAAATATTTTATATGGACCAATATAATATATATGGACCAATAATATATATATATATTATATATATAATATATATATATGGACCAATGTGATGGCTTGGGGGGCTTGTGGCCAAGCCCGACTCCCACAAGTTGTCCTGCACATGTGTGCTGTGGCACAAACACACACACTAAATAAGTAAATAAATAAAATAAGTAAGGGGCTGGAGAGATGGCTCAGCAGGTAAGAACCCTGGCTGTTCTTGCAGAAGACCCAGGTTCAAATCCCAGCACCCACATGGCAGCTAACAGCTGTCTGTAACTCCAGTTCCAGGGGATCCGACAGCCTCTTCTGTCCTCACGAGCATTGCACGACCCGGGTGCACTTACCTACATGCAGGCAATACACGCATACACATAAAATAAATAAATAAAATATTTTTTTAAAAAAGTAAGTGCTGGGCGTGGTGGCACACACCTTTAATCCCAGAACTCGGGAGGCAGAGGCAGGAGGATCTCTCTGAGTTCAAGGCCAGCCTGGTCTACCTAGTGAGTTCCAGGACAGCTGGGGCTACAGGGAGACCCTGTCTCAAAAAGACCAAAAAAAAAGAAACAAAAACAAATAAGAATGAAGCGTAAGGACTGGAGAGAATAATAAGGGCTCAGTGGTTAAGAGCACTGACTGCTCTTGGAGAGGACCCAGGTTCGATTCCAAGTACCCACATGGCAGCTAACAACCGTCCATAACTCCAGTTCCAGGGGATCCAACGCCCTCTTCTGACCTCTGCTGGCATTGCACGACATGGCTGCACTTACACACATGCAGCAATACACTCATATACATAAAAAATAGAAAAAAATTTTTTAAAAGAATGAAAAATAAGACACTGGTGGTGGAGCCCCCTGGTGATCAGGTGGCATTGAAGAAACCTGACGGCTGGAAATCCGGGGCCTTGAGGCTTGGGGCTGGGATAGGAGAGGTTGGTCTCTTGGGAGCAGAACAAGGGTCTCCATCCCCCATCCTGTCCCAGTTCAAGAGGAAGCCACTGTCCTGCAGGAGGAAATGGGACAATAACTGGTCATGTGACCAGGGCAGGGGCTTCCTGTTTCCCAGCCTCTCCCAGGCCAACCTTGGCCAGTGTGACCTGTGCAGTGGCCAGCATGACCTGAGATGCCCAGGAGCCCAGGCCTCTCCCATGGTGCCCCAGAGAAGTAGGCGGTGAAGAAGACAGCAGGGTGAACCCCAGGTGAGGTGGGGCCTAGGGTCCTGGGAGGAAAGGGAGTTCTCCTGACCCTGGCCCATTGTCTCTGTAGGGAGAGAGGAACGTGGATAACTGAAATCTGGGGAGGCTGACAGAGGAGAGGTGCAAGACCAGGAGTGAGCTGACTGGCAGGTAGGTAGTAAGCTGCCTGTTAAGAGAGGCATCCAAACATTCAAATATGTCAGAACCACACAGATAACACAAGATTCTCCTAGTGGAAGAGCCAAGGATAACACAGAGACAAAGGCAAGATCTGAGAGCAGGTGGAAAGCAATCATGAGCAGCCTGGCCTCACGGCCCCGAAGCCGTCGAGGGAGGCACCCTCCACCCGTGAGTGCCCTTCTCCCTCCACACCAACTTCGGGGACCCGGAAGCCCAGGCCCACTTGGCTCAGCCAGGCCCTGGTCATTTCAGGGGGAGTTGGACCCAGTGGCTGAAACCTCGGAGGAGGCAGAGGCTGCCAGCGGGAACCTCAGGGCCAAGCCTGGGCCTCAGGACAGCCTCCTGCCAGAGCTGCAGGACCCCAGTGCAGAGCCCCAAGATGGCAGCCAGGGCCCAGGGAGCCAGTAAGATAGGTTTAATGTGTGTCCTCCAGGCCAGCCCCAGGCCAGCACAGAACTATCATGCTGCCCTCCTCATGTCCCTGCCATAGCCTCCCACACACCCTCAGCCTTCCTCCTCCTCCCCAATCCCTCTTCCTCCTTTTTCTCCTCTTCGCCCTGCTCCTCCTCCTCCTTCTCCACCACCACCTCCTTCTCTCCCCTTCTTCTTTCTCTTCCTCCTCCATCAGCCCAGGAGCTAGGGAAAGCCCACTGCCAGCCCACCCTCCTGAAAAGTCCTGTGGCTGGATTCCTGCATTCTCTTGCAGAACTGACCATGGTGGCTTGGGCTGTGGGGTGCTGGCATCAGCCCCTGAGGAGCCAAGTGAGGCTGCAGCCCCCAGGGCCCCAGCAGCACCCCAGGATGTGTTTGAGGCTCTGCAGCATGCTCTGGGCTCCCTGGAAGTGGCAGCTACCGCCTGGCGCCACCGGTCCCCGAGCTCTCCAGGGCTGAGGGAAGCAGAAGATGGAGACAAGGGGGGACCAGGGCCCTTTGGTGACCAGGACGAGGCAAGGCATGGCCGGCATGAGGCAGCCCGGCTGACCGAAAGGAACGCCTGGTTGCGGCTGGCCCTGGGCAGCCGGGAAGCTGAGCTGGTCCGCACTCAGGCTGTCCTGCAGGCCACCCAGGTTGAGAAGGAGACTCTACAGAGCCAGGTAAGCTGTGATCCCAGTGCCACCCCCTAGCTGTCTGAGGGAGGAGGCAGGCCCTGCAAGGGGAACATACACTCACTCATTCAACAAACCTGTGTGGCACAAGGAGAGATGAGTCCAGCAACCAAGCAATACAGGTCCCCCACCATGTCAGTCAAGGAGGGGCATGAGGCCCCAATGATTGAAGACCAGAAGGAAGCAGGGCACAGTGGCATTCCCCTGTGGGCTCAGGCTGGGGAGGTTGATGCAGGAGGATCTTGAGTTAGAGGCCAGCCTGAGCTGTACAACACCTTGTCTCCAAAGACAAAATTTAGGAGGGCTGGGGATGTTTTCATAGGTACAGTGCTTGCTTGGACATACCTGTCATCCCAATACTCAGAAGGTAGAGGCAAGAGGAGAGCGAGTTCAAGGTCAGCCTCAGCTACCTACTGAGTTCAAGACTAGCCTGGGCTACATAAGGCACTGACTCAAAAACTGTTTTTTGGTTTTGAAAAAGCTGAGTGTAGCCTTTTCTAAGGAGTGGAGTGCTTGCCCAGTACCTCTGAAGCTCTGGGTACTGCACACACACAAAGGGATAAAGTGAGGCTACTGTGGAGGGAGGTGAAGACAAGAAGTGATGGCCACAGTCAGCTGGTGCAGGGCAGGATTCTAGAGCTGACCATGCCGGAGCCACAGAGAGCTCTGGGTTCTGAAAGGTGGAGCAGACCCTTGTTCTCCACTTGCCCTCTGCTGGTTACCAGAGGAACAGTCTGGAGCTGGGCCATAACCCTCAAGATGGGTGTGTATGTGTGCCCAGGCACTCTATGGAAGTGGTTGAGGTGACTAGAAATGGCCAGATTATGAGTGGTGTTAAAGCCAGGCATGGTGGCACAAGCCTGTAATCTCAGCACTATCAGAGGCTAAGGCAGGAAGATAGCGACTTACACTATTCTGTGTAACATAGTCAGACCTTATCTCAAAATAAAAGGTAAAAAGAGGATCCGGGTATGGCTCAGAGGTAGAACTCCTACCTAGAATCCCCCAGTGAGGGGCTGGGGGGTGTGGTTCAGGGGTAGAGCTCTTGCCTAGAATCCCCCAGTGAGCGGCTGGGGGTAAGGCTCAAGGATGGAGCTCTGACCTAGCCTTTACTTGACATAGAAGGCCTAGGATTCCATTCCAAGCACCCTCACCTCCTACCAAATATGAATTAAACTCCCCTTCCTGGGTGTGGTGATGCACTGTTGTAATTCTAACTACCTAAGAAGTTAAGGCAGTAGAATGGCTTGAATCCAGGAGGTCCAGACCACCCTGGGAAATACTGTGCATCTCCATCCTAAAATACAAAAGAAAGAAAGAATAAACCAAATGGTTTCATCTTCCCTGGGCGTGGCCCCTGTCCTGGTTAAATGCTAGGTGCTGAGTGGCAGCTGGGACTCATGGGTTCTGCAGGCTAACCCTGTGTGAGCACACTGGAGCTGCAGCCTAATGCCCGCAGGTACAGGAGCTACAGAACACACTGATGCAGCTGGAGACCTCCTGGCCTCCCTCCCTCCCAGCTGGAGGTCCTGGTAGTGACTCCAGCAGCTCTGGAGCAGAAGGGGAACCCTGGACACCTCAGGTCAGTCTAAGTACTCTGGGGATGAACTTCACTTCTTGCTCATGAGCTCCTACACTGTCCTCAAAAGCCTAAACTGCCAGGGTTGGCCACTAAAGAGTGTTACCCCAGCTTCTCAGAAGGGTGAAGCAGGAAGATTATGACTCCAGGGCCAGCCTGGGCAACTTAGCAAGATGGTCTCAAAATAAAAGGTAAGAAAAGGGTCCGCAAGATGGCTCAGCAGATAAAGGTGCTTGAGACCAAGGCTGAGGACCTGAGTTCAATCCCCAGGACACACATTGTGAAAGAGAACTTACTCCCACATGCTTTCCTATGACTTCCACATATGGCATATGAGCACACGCACACACACAAATAAATAAATAAATAAATAAACAAACAATAAATAGCCGGGCACGGTGGCGCATGCCTTTAATCCCAGCACTTGGGAGGCAGAAACAGATGGATCTTCGTTAGCTCGAGGCCAGCCTGGTCTACATAATGAGTTCCAGGACAGCTGGGGCTACAGAGAGACCCTGCATCAAAAAGACAAAAATAAATAAATAATAAACAAACGAATAACAACGTAATAAAATCAGTTTAAGTGAAGTTCTGAAAGGCTGGTGTCCGGGAAGACAGCTTCGTTGGCAAACATTTGCTTCGCAAACCTGAGGACCTGAGTTTGATCCCCACAACTCACATTAAAAAAAAAAAGAGGGGCTGGGGTTTTAGCTCAGCGGTAGAGTACTTGCCTAGCAAGCGCAAGGCCCTGGGTTTGGTCCTCGGCTCCGAAAAAAAAAAAAAAAAGAGGCATGGTGGCATGCACTTATAGTCTCAGCACTGGGAGGCAAAGGCAGGCCAGCCTGCTCTACATAGTGATTTCTAGGCCAGTTGGGGCTACATGGAGACTCTGTCTAAACACAAACAAAAACAAGGTTGATGGCTCTAGAGAAACAACACACGATGTTGACCTCTGGCCTCCACACACACAGACATGCATGCATACCCCCCACATGTAACCCATCTACACACAAACACATGCATACACACACAAAAGGGCTGCAATTATGGCTTTGTGTTACAGAAGGCACCTAGCATGTGCAAAGACCCTGGGCTCCATCCTCAGTACAGTAAAAAAGTCACACTCATTATCTGGCTCTGGATGACATTTGGGTAAATTGAGTCACATCTTCCTGGCAGGGCTCCCCCCTGGTTCACCCCATGCTCCAGTGCCTCCAGAGAAACTCCAGCACCCAGATCTTTGGGTGTCTTTCTACACAGCGCCGGGCCCCTGAGACACACCTCATGGAAGACCAACTGGAACAGCTCCAAGGGTAAGTAAGGGTCTGAGAGCCATGGCTGCTGAGCTTTAAGGACACATTCCTTCCCCACTGGGTCTCCCCTGCAAGGTGGAGAGGGAAGCAGGACTCTGGTTGAGCAGGGCACTCATCCCTCTTCCCTCTTGCCCACCTTTGGGAGCTTTAAGGACACATACCTTCCCCACTGGGTCTCCCCTGCAAGGTGGAGAGGGAAGCAGGACTCTGGTTGAGCAGGGCACTCATCCCTCTTCCCTCTTGCCCACCTTTGGAGGCAGGAGCATCGAGAATCTGAAGTGCTTCAACCGCCTCCTGCTGGCCGTGCTCCAGGGTTACAAGGGGCGCTGTGAAAGTCTCAGCATGCAGCTGGGCCTGCGGGAGGCTGAGGCCACAGCCCTGCACCTGGCCCTGCAATACAGGTCTGTGCCAATGGCCATGATGGGGAAGATATGAGGTGTGGGCGAGACTGGGGATGAGGCGTATCCCAGGGTGGTCCCATGCACAGGGGACATTGACCTTCAAAACCTATTGTTGGAGCCTGGAAATTATCTCAAAGGGACGCCAGCCCAGAGTGAAGGTATCTGTGTGCAGAGTGCAGGAACATGGTTCACACAAGCGGGGTTCTTCCACCCAGCAAAGGGGCTGGTTGGTTGGTTATGTTCTGTTCTTGTTTGACTATGTATGTATGTATTATGTATGTATGTATGTATGTATGTATGTTTTTCTGACACAGGGTCCCCCTGTAGTCCCAGCTAGCCTGGAACTCACTATGTATGCCAGGCTGGCCTCGATCTTGCAGAGATCCACCTGCCTTTGCCTTCTGAGTGCTGGGATTAAAGGTTTGTGCCACTATGACCAGATGTTTTAAGTTTATTTATTGTGTGAGTAGTGTGCCATGGCAGAGGATAACTTTGTGGAGTTGGTTCTCTCCTTCCTTATTTATTTATTTATTTATTATTTACTTATTCATTCATTCATTCATTTATTTATTATTTATTGTCTTTTTGAGACAGGGTCTCCCTGTAGCCCCAGCTGTCCTGGAACTCACTATGCAGACCAGGCTGGCCTTGAACTCACAGAGATCTGCCTGCCTCTGCCTCCCAAGTGCTGGGACTACAGGCATGTGCCACCATGCCCAGAACCTTTACTTTTATTTTTATTTTGTCTGCATGCAAGTGTACAATGTGCATGCACTACCTGTGGACATCAGAAGATGGTGCTGTATAACCTGGAACTGGAGCTACAGACAGTTGTTAACTGCCCTGTGGGTGCTGGGAGCCAAAGCCAGGTCCCCTGCAAAAGCAGTCACTGCTGAGCCATCTCTCCACCTCCTCTTTTGTATTGGGGGGTGTGTGGTTTGAGACAGAGTTTCACAATGTAGCCTTGGCAAGGAACTCACTTCATAGACCAGCCTGGCCTTACACTCACAAAGATTTTCCTGCCTCAGCCTCCCAAGTGCTGGGATGACTGATGTGTGCCACCACACCTGACTTGTGGTTGGGTGAGGTGAAGCACTCAGAACCAATGTCCCACAGTGAGGACTGTGAGGAGGCATTTGGGGCACTGCTGGCTCTGAGAATGGCCACCAAGGACAGAGCTACCGAGGGTGACCTGCAGGCAGCTGAGGATGCGGTGACCAGGCTGCTGGCAGAAAAGGAAGCTGCCATGGATGGAGGGACACCCCAGCCCAGGTACCTCCAGGACGCTGAGGTCCTAAAGGGGGTGGGAGTCCCACAGTGGGCTGTGTGGGGCTTTTAAGTCACTGAGCAGCAGAATCAGCATTGAGTTGACCAGGATTGGTTGGCACAAGGTCTGACTGTACAGTCAGTTAAAAAGTTTGCTTGGCACTTGGGCATGTGATGCAGCCTTTAATGCCAGCACTAGGGAGGCAGATGCAGGCAGATCCCTGTGAATTGGAGGCCAGCCTGGGATATATAGGGAGTTTCAGGTCAGCTGGGGCTACACAGGGAGACCCTGTTTCAAAAATAAAAGTTAACCCAGCATGTGCAAGGCCCTGGGTTCAACCCCAAATGCTGAAAATAAAAACAAAATCAATGAAGGGAGGAATGGCTTATGGTTTCAGGCTTGTCAATGCATCATGGCAGCCAGGAAGTAGAGAGTGTGGGGAGGGTATCAGAAGTGGCCAGGGCACTGTATAGCATCAAAGGAAGGAGTCTGAGCAGGGTGCATCTCTATGTGGACCTAGCAAGACAGCCAGCCATGCACTCTCCTGTCATCACTGGGCTTCTGAGCTTATACCTCCATGTCTGCAGCACACAGCAAGCCATCACCAACCATCTGGGCTGCAGTCTAGCTTGAGGGGAGCACACGGTAGAATTAGTATCACACTCCCCCAGTGCTGAATTTACTCCAACCAGGCCACATGACTTCTTCTTGCCTCTACCTCCCAAGTCCTAGGATGGCAGATGTGCATCACCACGCCCAGTTTATGCTGTGCTGAGAATGGAACCCAGGGTCTCATGCATACTAAGTGGGAGCTCTACCAACTAAGCTACAAGCACTCTACCAACTGAGCTATAAGCACTCTACCTAGCCCTCAGCATGCTGTTCTGCTGGAAGATGACTGCTGGGTGTGTGCTGTGGTGCTGATCCTACTATTAGGATAGGCCCACCCCAGGTGGCCTGGGAGTCAGCATGGCCAGCGAGGGAGACGATGGTGGCTCTTTGGAGTACCATCCAGTCAGAACACGTGCCCAAGCATTAACACAGACCCATCTCCTGTTTCCTGTAGCCCGGAGGGCAGCAGTGTGGACAAGCCCACACCACAGGAACTGGTTGCTAGGCTCCATGGCCATGTGCAGCGTGTCCAGGAACATCGGGCTTTGGTGAAGATTCCTCCAGCCCTGGGTCCTGTCCGTGAACCCAGGCCCACTGTGCCCCACACTGAAGCCTCAGTGATGGCCATGTTGGAGATGCAGCCTGGCCCAGCGCTGCCCCGGCTGGAGAAGTCTCAGATCCAGCAGGACCTGTTGGCCACTCGGGTACGAATGTGTCAGGCATGTCTCTGCACCTGCCCTTCATTGAAGCTTCGGGGGCATGACTGGGGGCCAGTAGAGAGGCAGATCTTTGGGTTGGGAGGTTTTCTGGGTGAAAGAAAATTGGAGTTGGGGTTTAAGGGATGCATAGGAGTTTGTTCTCTAGATCTAGTTCTTCATTAGATACTGAGTCTCCTGGTTACGTGTGTTGTGAAATACCACCTGCAGACGAAAGGTTTGTTTTGACTCATGGTTGGAAGGCCAGTCCAGCAGCAGCAGCAGGAATGGGGTGGCCGGTCATGTCACAACCAGTCAGGAAGCAGAGAGATGAGTGCCGGTGTTCAACTGGCTTTCTCTTTTGTGCTCAGTCAGCACCCCACAGGATGGTACCCCCACATTCAGGGTAGATCTTTCCAGTTCAGCTAACCCAGTCCAGATGTTCCCTCACAGGCATGCCCAGAGTCTTGGGTGATTCTAGATCCCAATATGCTGATAATACTACCCTGATAATACTGTCACAATCTGCTTCTCCAAAATGCTCCTCTTATGGGAAGATGAGGGTTGCAGGAGACTCTGGGGCTGTGGTCAGGCAGGACAGGGGCCGGGCATGCGGCTTGGTAGAGCACTCACCTAGCATACACTGTGGTGCAACCCTCGAATCCCAGCATTTGGGAGGCTGAGATAGGATCAGGAGTTCAAGGCCAGCCCTCCAACTGAGCTACAGAGTGAGACCATGTCTCAAAAGAATAAGAGAAAAAATGAAGTGAGACGGCGTGGCGGGTAAACGTGCTTGCTGCCAAGCCTGATGACCTGTGTTAGATCCTTGAAACCCACATGGTGGAGGGAGAACCCACACCCAACAGTTGTCCTCTAACCCCCCCCCCAATAAATAAGTGTAATAAATTTTTTTAAGGTTCTGGGGACTGAAGTGGTAGCTCAACAGTTAAGAGGCCAGCTGCTCTTGGAGAAGACCCAAGCTTGGTTCCCAGCACTCACAGTGGGCAGCTCGTTCCAGGGGATCCGATGCCTGCTTTTGGCCTCTGTGGGCACCTTCGCTGTGCCCACACACATGCAGAATATAAATAATAAAATAATTGAGAGGCAGAGGCAGGTGGAACTCTGTGAGTTCAAGGCCAGCCTGGACTACATAGTGAGTTCCATCTTCAGAGGGGGGAATGTTAGAGTGACAAAAAACCCCATTAGAAAGAAAGAAAGAAAGAAAGAAAGAAAGAAAGAAAGGAAGAAAGAAAGGAAGGAAGAGAGAGAAAGAGAGAGAGAAAGAAAAAGTTAAGACGCTCTGGAGTCTGAGAAGTTCTAGAAGCGTCTCCCAAGCCAGACCTTGTGACATCTGGTCCTCACAGGAGGGCCTGGCCGACCTGGCGCTGCGGCTGCAGCTGCTGCGGAAGGAGAAGCGCGGCTTGGAGCTGAGGGAGGCTGCACTACGGACCCAGGGCCCTGCGCTTGCGCTGCTTCTGCAGCAGCTCCGCTGGGAGCGGGCGCACCTGGGGGCCTGCGGGGTGCAGGACAGCAGCGGCAGGGGCAGCAGTGGAGACGCCAGCAGCGAGGAGGAGGAGTGGGCACAGGTGAGAGGCAGAACGACACACCATCAGGTGCGCCTCCTGTCCATCCTCTGGGCTCCCACTGTTTGTGCACCAAGGAGTGGGCCAGCAAGATGGCTCAGTGGATAAAGGGGCTTGACATCAGGCCTGATGACCTGAATTCCATCCCCAGGACCCACACAGTGGAAAGAGAGACCAGATCCCTGAAACTTGTCCTCTGATCTCCACAAGTGCATTGTCGCACACGTGTGTGCACACATACTAACAAACAAAGCCAGGCGTGGTGTTGACTGCCTTTAATCCCAGCTCTTGGAAGTAAAGGCAGGCAGATCTCTGTGAGTTCAAAGCTAGCCTGGTCTACATAGCGAGTTCCGGGCCAACATCACATGATTGAGAGCTGGGGGCTGGAGAGATAGCTCAGCAGTTAAGAGCACTGGCTGCTCTTGCAGGGGACCCAAGTTGGAGTCCCAGCACCAACATGGCAGCTAATAACTATCCGTAACTCCAGCTCCAGGAGATCTGATGCCCTCTTCTAACCTCTGCAGGCATTGCATGACATGGGTTCACATACATACATGCAGGAAAAACACAGAAAATAAAAATAAATTTTAAAAATTAAAAAATATATATAATTAACAAAAACAAGTTCTGGCCAACACCTGGGTGACATCCAGCTTGGGCTGACAACATTGAAGACCTAATCTCTCTTCCATCTGCCTCATATAGGGCCCTCCTGCCCTCCCAGGTGGCCAGACAGGCAGAGTGTGGGACTCTGAGAACCTGTCCCAAGAACTGGCAGCATCTCTCACCAGGTCTGCATCAGCTCGAAGAATGGTTGGGTGGGTGGATAGATAGATGGATGAGTGAGTGGGTGGATAGATGAGTGGATGGATGGATGGACGGATGGATAGATGGATGGATGGATGGGTGGGTGGATGAGTGGATGGGTGAGTGGATGGATGGATGAATGGAAGGGTGGGTGGGTTGGTGGGTGGGTGGATCGGTGGATGGGTGAGTGGATGGGTGGGTGGGTAAGTGGATAGGTAGATGGATGGATGAAGGGGGTCGCATTGTATTCATAAGATAAAATTTGTGCACCTGTATGCAAATGTGTTCCAGTCTGGGCAGCACAGGCAAGAGGTTGGTAGGAGGGTGGGGCAAGTTGAACATGTTGGTGCCTGCCTCTCTCTCCCCCTACAGGACCTTGGAGCTGCAAGCACAGTTGCAGGCCCTGCGGTGGCAGCTAGAGCAAATGGCACAGAAGGGTCGAATTCGACGTGCTCATAGTGCAGAGCTCAACAGAGAGCTGTGCAAAGCCCACAGGTAGGACCCAGGATAGTCCCAGCAGTATCCCCGGCTCTCTCTGGGCCTGTTTCCCCCTCAGAAGAGAGGCAGCAGACTAGCTTTCAGTCTGGTCTTTGGGTCCTGGGGGTCTCTGTCCAGCTGAGCAAGGCATCTCACTCCCTGCAGTGCCCTAGTCCTGGCCTTCAGAGGTGCCCACCGGAAGCAGGAAGAGCAAAGCAGAAAGTTGGAACAGCAGATGACCCAGATGCAGGCCAGGCAGGCAGAAGAGCTGGCAGCACTGGAAGCCACCGCCAGATCCCTGGGGAAACCTGGGCCCCAGCCAGGGGAGACATTCCTGTAGGCCCCATGCTCAGCTTCTGTGTAACTGCAGTGGTAGCAGACATGTCATAAAGTGTCCTGACATGGGGCTGGAGGGACGGATCAGCAGTAAGAGCACAGGCTACTCCTGAAGAGGACCTAGGTTTGGTTCCCAGCACCCATATAATGGCTAACAACCTTCTGTGACTCCAGTTACTGGGGATCAGAGACCCTCTTCTGGCTTCTGCAGGCATTGCACACATGCATGTGCATATACTCACACACAGGCACTCACATACACTTAATACTAAATCTTTGAAAAACATGTCCTTTGTGACACCTACCATCTTTATCCCTGGTGGCCGGCCTACCTTTTTCCTATCCTCACCTTGCCTGGAGGTGGTGGGTCTGACCCGACACCTCCCAAGTGGAGACTTGAGCATGAGGCTCAGGGTCAGGCATAGGGTGGTAGTGCTTCTTCCCAGGGCAGATGGCAGGGGAGGAGGAATCACAGAAGCCTTTGGGACAGGCATTTAGATGACACATTTGGACTGTGGCCAGAGGTACAGCACTTGCGTAGCATGGGTGAGGTACTGGATTCCCAGCCCCAGAGGTTACTGAGCATGTGCAATACCAGGTTTCTAGCCCTACCCCCTTACTATGCCTTCAGGAGGCCCCTGAGGAGAGCTGGGGGAAACAACCACCACCAATAAACAAATGGAGTGGGGTGGAGATCAGTGGGTAAAATGCCTGCCTAATGTGCACAAGACCCTGGGTTCCATCCCAGCACCACATAAAACTGGGACAGTTTGTGTACATTTATAATCCCATCACTGAGTTTAAGGTCTGTGAGGGTGAAGCCAGCCTGGACTACAGGAGATCTTTTCTCAAAACTGAATGAACAAAGGCTGGAGAGATGGCTCAGTGGTTAAGACAACTGACGGCTCTTGCAGAGGGCCCAGGTTGGAGTCACAGCACCCACATGGCGGCTAACAACTGTAACTCCAGTTCCAGGGACTCCAACACTCTTTTCTGACCTTGCACAACACCGGTACATACATGCAGGCAATACATTCATACACATAAAATAAACAGTGCCAGGTGTGGTGACACACACCTTTAATCCCAGCACTTGGGAGGCAGAGGCAGGTGGATCTCTGTCATTTCAAGGCCAGCCTGGTCTACATAGTGAGTTCTAGGATAGCTGGGGCTACAGGGAGACCCTGTCTCAAAAAGACCAAAATAAATAATAAATAAATAAATAAATGTAAATAAATAAATAAATATTTAAAAAACTAAATGAACAAGTAAATAAATAGGGTCGGGTGTGATGGCACACACCTTTAATCCCAGCACTCATGAGGCAGAAGTAGATGGATATTTTTTAGGGCAAGGCCAGCCTGGTCTATGTAGTGAGTTCTAGGCTAGCTGGTTCTACAGGAAGACAGTCTCAAAAAGACAAAAAAAGAAAAAAAAAAAAAGTAAATACCGAAAATAAAAATGGGGCTACCAAGATGGCTCCACAGGTAAAGGTATTTGCTGCAAATTCAATACCTGGATCCCACTTTATGATGGAAGGAGAGAAATGACTCCAGAGTTGTCCTCTGACCTCCACACAAACAATATAATAAAACCAAAAAAATTAAAGGTGGCACTAAGGTACCCAGGGCCCTGCTGCCTTATACTTTGGGGGAGAGGAACTCATGATGGCTATAGGAGATGGTTTGGCCGTTCCCAGAAGCCTGTATGGGCCACACTGTCACCTGGGTCTGGGATGGGAGGCCAGCTGTCTGCCCCTGAGCTAGGCTGAAACCCTACACTCGGATTCCGGATTCCGTTTCCACCAACCCTGGCTGCACCTGTGCAGGTATGTGGAGGACAGGGGTCTGTCCCCAGGGGATAGCCGCACTGCCCCGAGGCAATGCAAGTCTGAGGCTGGGGCTCTAACCCGAGGCAGAAATGAAAGTGGAGAATTCTGGGAGGGAGACAAGTTTTCCCCCACAAGAGAAGCAGTGGGGCTGGTGGCCAGTGGGTGCCCCATTCTGTGGGGTTTCAAGGATAAGGGAAACTGAGGCAGGCCACCTTGCCCACGTAGGTCCTGGGGACTGAATTCAGGTTATCAAGATTGGCAGCAAGTGCCTTTATCAACTGAGCCATCTTGCCAGCTCATCTCAACCCTCAGTTCTCCAGATCGCTGGTGGTCTGCCAAGGTCGCCTGGTGCGGGGGTGGGACAGGTTCCCAGGCTGCCCTAGCAGAGTCCGGCCGTTCCCACAGGCCCAGGGCAGCAGATGGGCCCAGGCGCCTTTGTCCCCCTGTCCAAGGCAGCCACAAGGTCAAATGTCACCGCGGGGCCACGGGCAGGGGTCAGGGGGGTGGGTCAAGGCTCCACCCACCCTCACTTGGGCCCCAAGAGCTAGGGGGTAGCATAGCTACTGGGATTGGGCTGGAACTGAGCAACTCCTTCTGGGTCCCCTCCCCCGAGACCTGCCTCCCTCACCCCCAGCTCCCCTCCTCAGTCCCCTCCCAGAGCTTTCTTCCTTCTCTGAGATTCTCCCCCACCACGAAGGATTTTAGACTAGTCTGGGCCAGGTGCTAGGACTTATGTCCTGGGCTGGAATAACCAGCAATGGCCTCCAAACTAAAGCATCCTGTGGGCCACCCAGGCTTTGCTCCCAGAAAGGCAGAACTCACTCTAATAAAATTCCTGGGAAGTCCTTGCTCATGTTTAACCTTAGTCCTCCCTGCTCTCCGTATTTCATAAGGTCTTCATGTTACACCCAGACAGACCCTTCCAGTGGGTACAAGGTCCAGGGCTGAGGGCCTCTGGCTGGTGGAAGGCTGAATCTCCATTTGCCTGTAAGTGCTGCTGGATCTTAGAGTGCTGTCAAAGTTCACCCTGTCCTCATCAGGTCTCATCTTGAGGAGGGAACTTTGCACCTGGCCTTTGACTGAGCAAGGAGCGCGCGCGCGTGCGTGTGTGTGTGTGTGTGTGTGTGTGTGTGTGTGTGTGAAGGAGGGGAGGGCAAGGCCCTCTCTCCTGCTCCGGTGTCCACACAGGCCCCACCTGGGCAGGAGGCAGAGCAGGCCTGGCAGGCAGAACCTGCCTGACTCGGGGGTGAAAGGTCACTTCTGGCCAGACTTTTCCAGCTTTTCCAGTGCCTTACCCCGGGTTAACCGTTAACAGGCCCAAAGTCAGGTCTAGCCTGCTGTACACGCCGTTGCTCAATAAATGCTTGCCTTGGAGAAGCCTTGCACACAAAGGGTGCTTAATAAATGCTTGCTCCAGGGCAGCCTGGGTCTAATGAGGCGAGCGCGAGGACTGGAGGCGTGTCGGCAGCTGGAGGACTCCAGGGAGCCAGAAGACATCTGTGGTCCAGCCGGGGGCCAGGCCAACCCTCTGTAAAACAGAAAGAAAAGGAAATGAGGGGGGCCGAGGACAACAGGCCCCCAAGACGGGCGGGCCTTCTGGCTACCTCAGGCTACGTTGGAGGGGTGGGGGACCCCTTGACCTCCCAGACTGGCGGGCCACTTCTGAAGGCCACATCCCGTCCCCAGGAGATCTGGGCACCAGGTGTTCATCGGAGCAGAGGGCGGGGGTGGGGTGGCCACTGGGACTTTCTGGAAGAGGGAGCAAGCACAATCCGCCTTGCAAAGCAGTGTGTGCGTGCGTGTGCGTGTGCGTCTACGCGGCGCAGGGGTGTGCCCCGGCTGCAGGGTCCCCAGGGTGCAGGGTCCCCGGGCTGCAGGGTTCCCCGGAGTGCAAGATCCCAGGGCTACAAGATTCCTGGCTGCAGGGTGGTTGGCTACAGAGTCCCGGCTGCAGGGTCCCCGGGTACAGGGTACCCCCAACTGGCCTCTGTGGGGTGCGCAGTGTACGGCCCCGGCCACCACACAGGACGCGCAGGGGTTAAGGGCGGCGTGGGGGAGGGTCAGCCGCGATCCGCCCCCGTCCCTCCCGCCGGCCCGGCTACGGGAGCGCGCGGACACCCCATGCCCTTATAAGGGTGGCCGTCGCCGGGGCAACAGCGCCCGCCCCCGGCCGCGCGCCCCGCCCCGCC